CATCAACCACAGCCAAAGTTATAGACCTTCAAAGCGTGACGACCCGTTCAAAACACCCGGAAACTACAAAAGAGCCCTTTTTTCTAGAGTTACACAACAACCGAAGATCGACAACGAACAGAAAACTCTTTTGAGGCCACTTGGATTTGATGGAGAAGGCCCTCGAGTTGCAAATGAATCAATACCATTAGAAAAACCACCTCCAACACCACTAAAACCAAAGGAACTCTTCTTGAAAATGTCAGAAGAAGCAGCTCAAAAAAACCATTGATTCCACAAGTTCATGTTCAAGCGAAACCACATGAACCACAGCCAATTCTAGAAATTCCCGAGGAGCCACCAATACCAGAAGTACCTCCCAGAAAGTCACACAGACCAAGAACATTCATTGTTCGAAGTTTTTGTCAAAGATTGTTTGAATTGTTGCAACTCGAATCCGAGTTGTGGTGATCTTCAATAGCGGCAAAGAAGATCTTCAACTGATACAGCTTCGATTGGAATTTCATCGTCGTGGTCTCTATTTTTTAGAGTTTCAATCTGAAAAGCTAAATTTGCAAGGTATTTAGACTTTTACTACGCTTTAGAGGTCAGTGAGTGCATTCAAAACAAATTTTCCTTAAACTTCTCCCGATCTGTTAAAAGAAGAAGACTCATGCTGCAAGTTCATAAGTTTTCTTTACTTTTAATCAATTTTACAAGACCGAATTCCGTCTTACTCACTATAAGATACTTGGGTGCTTTATTGTTATCGGGGGGATGAGAGATTTGGCAAAACTGCTGCGATCTAGTGATCCAAACGCTTCAATGATGATGATTTTGATCTTGAAGACAAGCCTCGTTCCGGACGACTACCTATTTTCGACGAAAGTGACTTGCAAGCTGCTCTGGATGCTTTGGATGTTATGGACGGCTTGGTCCGAAATTGTTGGTGGGATTGGTAATACGGAAAACATTCATATACTCAGAATTCGATACCCTTTCCGGTGATGTATTGAGATTTTTAATAACTTTTTTCAGAAAAAAGTTATCGACTGAAAATGGTCCAAACCCCCATTTTCCAGATATTTTGGACCCTCCAGATCTCGAAAACGAGAAAAGCTAAAGCAAAGCGGTTTTCAGATTCTAAATCAAGCTAGTTGAATTGCTAGAAAAACGCTTTTTCTTCAAATGGAAACGTTTCATTAGTTCTGAAAGTCCGGATACAAATATGAAACGGATGCTATTGGGTTGGTGAATTGAAAACTGCCGGCTATTGTCATGTCACAGTACTGGACGACTGGAGATGTCCCAGTTTGAGCACTTTCTTCAAAAGAAAACCATTTTGGTGTCAATAGAAAAGTTGTAGAAAATCAAAAATTAAGCTTACATCCAAATTTTCAGAACGATTCAAAAACTGGTTTTCAAGAAATGCGAAATTTACGAATTTTCACAAAACTTGCATTTTAAGCGAAACTGCTAAGTGTATCTTTTTGGAAATTTGGCTATAAGCCTCATTTTTGATCCTCTACAACTTTTCTATTAACACCAAAATGGGTTTCTTTTGAAGAAAGTGCTCAAATTGGGACATCTCCAGTCCTTCATTCTTGAGTCTCACACTTGTCTCACACGCAAACCAAAATCCCACGCAGAAAGAGAAATCCGCAAATTGGCTGTAAAATGGGCAGAACTCGTCAATAATAATGGAAATTATTTGGAATGAAATGAAAAGAAAAATTCAAGAAATGCACTTTTATTGTTAAACAATTTCACCAAGCTTTAACGCCAACCACTTTGACGATCACTTCTCGACAATCGAAAATCGGTGTCCCGCGGCGATCATCGTTGTTCATGTAGGCCTCATGTGATGGACCTACCCGTGCCTTTTTGACACTCTTATAGCATATCATTTGAAGCGCAAGACACCAAGAAGACAAGATTCAAGCCATACTTCAGTCAAGAAAGAGTTACTCGATCGTTTCCGCATAGGATTTTTCAATTCTCTTACCCAGACAGGTACGCGCAGTCCCAAGTTCACTCAAAAGATTCAGAAATTCAAAGATTGTAGACTATAAACTAAGATAGAATAGAGATCTATCAAATTGAAGAAATCATCATTCACCTGCAACTCCCAAAATTGACGTCGCCACACTTGTCGGCAATATTATTCTTTGTGTTCGCGTTTTGGCTACACTCAAGTGCTTTGAGCACTAAATATCTTGAGGTTATGAAAAATTAGTTTAACGATAAAATTCTATGAGATATCTCTTACCAGAGGCTCTATCTTGATTCTCGCAGATCATTTGCCAGGCCCGTTCACCAGCGATTTTATTGTCTTCAAAAGACGATTTTCGCATCGTATCCAATTCTCTAAGAGTAGCGGAATTTTACAAGAAAGCAATAGTATTTGAATAAAACGATAATCTTCGAGTTTTCTTAAACTTTTCATTTACTCCGGAATGGTATTACTTGCACAACTCATCCATATCAATTGTTGCCAAAGAACACGGAAGTTCATTGACGTATTTTTGGATGAAACATTTCAGATTTGTTTCCAGAGCAAAGACTTCAATGGACCTTTGATCGAAAAATCCCTTCAACTCACCAATATATTACAGTCAATAAAAGCGAAAATTAAAGTTGTTTGTAACATTATATTGAATTTAGCTCTGAGATTTTCGGAGAACTAAAATCGAAAGGATGCGGTGGAACCGATTTTGCTGAAAGATAAAAAAAGTGTAGGCCGGTTTTGAAGGGGTATTTTTGGGGTTCTAGTCGATTTTAAAAAGAGTCGAACACAACAAACATCAACACATTTTGATCTTGATTTTTATCTACAACTTGTTCTCTAAAATCTTTTTTATCTTTCAGCAATCTTTTTATCTTTCAGCAAAATCGGTTCCACCGCATCCTTTCGATTTTATTTCTCCAAAAATCTCAAATTTCATTCAATATAATGTTACAAACAACTGGTAATTCCTTTTATTGACTGTAAATATTGGTGAATTGATGGGAGTTTTTCGATCAAAGGTCCATTTTAGTCTTTGCTGTGGAAAAAGATCTGGAATGTTTCTTCAAAAAATCCGTCAATGAACTTCCGTGTTCGCTGTCGACAATTGATATGGATGAGTTGTGCAAGTAATATCATTCCGGAGTAAATGAAAAGTTTAAGAAAACTCGAAGATTATAGTTTTATTGAAATACTATTCCTTTCTTGTAAAATTCCACTACTCTTAGAGAAGCGGATACAACGAGAAAATCGAAACTTGGGAAGACGCCCAAAACCCTGGTGAACGGACCTAACGGAATGCTCTGCGAGAATCAAGATGGAGCCTCTGGTAAGAGATATTGCATAGAATTTTATCGTTAAACTAATTTTTCATATCCTCACGATATTTAGTGCTCAAAGCACTTGAGTGTAGCCAAAACGCAAACACAAAGAATAATATTGCCGACAAGTGTGGCGACGTCAATTTTGGGAGTTGCAGGTGAATGACGATTTCTTCAATTTGATAGATCTCTATTCTGTCTTAGTTTATAGTCTTAATCTTTGAATTTTTGAATCTTTTAGTGAACTTGTGACTGCGCGTACTTGTTTGATAAGAGAATTGAAAACTCTATGCGGAAACGATCGAGCAACTTCTTTCTTGAATTCGGTGCTGGCCGAAATCGTTGTCTTCTTGATGTCTTGCGTTTCAAATGATATTGTTATTTAAAAGATTTCACAACAAAGGCACGTAATAGGTATTATTCAGGCCTACATAAACAACGATGATCGCCGCGGGACACCGATTTTTGATTGTCGAGTAGTGATCGCCAAAGTGGTTGGCCTTAAAGCTTGGTGAAAGTGTTTAACAATAAAAATGCTGAATTTCACCGAAACCACATTCCAAAGACCAAATTTGTTCAAATATAGAAATTACAAATGGAAAAACAAATTTTCAATAAACGACAGTGAATCTTTCTGCATTTGGTTCAATTTTTAAGCTTTAAACCAAACTAAACCAAACCAAATCGATCTCTAAAATTTCTTTTCTCATTTCAGTACCCGAAATAAAAATGATTTATGGTTTACCGTGCGATTTTTCAAATTTTTTTTAATTTTCCCATTTTTGTTCCACACCAAATGATCACTTTTCAATTTTATTCCCGAAAAATCTTTTCATTAGACACGAAAATGCAACAAACAACTTTAATTTTTCTCTTATTATATATATGCTTTATTCAGTTGAATAGCGACAAAACAAAATCACAATAATTACCACTCAAAACACACCCAAAAGATAAATAGATACCTCAAGAAAGAATCACAGATAAATTACGGCTTTAAATCTAGCCAAGGTGGAAATATCACGAACATGAGGGGGTAAAATGTTCCAGAATTTAATAACTCGATTAAAAAAGAAACTGTGTGGGCTTTTAGAGGAAACGGAAGGTTGGTGTATGAGAAAAGGCCCCCTTCTGGAGGCGCCCCGTAGAGAGCCGAATTCAAAGAGTCCAGAAAAAAGGGGGTCGGGATGAATGCCTTTAACAATTTTAAAGGATTCCACTAAATCGATGATAAGGCGGCGTTGGTGTAACATTTCAAGACCAAAGAGTGGCAATCTATCAGAATAAATAAGTAAATAGAGGGAGAATTTGTCAAAATTAATTTTATAAAGAGCAATTCTGGT